CACTCCCTCAAGAAACACTCACCCACACCCTGCATCCCTGAGGCTTGTAAGACACTCCCCTAAATATAAACACTCAGATACACAGCCATCCCCACCCATGCAGTATGTATGCAACCTGATATACCCTAGGTGATTATCATGAAGGTGGTGTGCCATTTACTAAATGTTTTATAGTCATTATCTCAGACCACTTAATCCTCACAGCCAAACCATCTGAGGTAGATATGATTATTGTTCCAATTTTGTAGATGAGGAAACTGAAGCTCAGAGAGGTTAAATAACTTGTCAGGGCCACACAGCTTAAAAATGATGAAGCTGGAAGTCAAACTTCAGCCCAGACTATTAACTTTTCCTTATACATTAAGATAAACTTGTAATACAGGCATGAGCAAAACCTTGCCTCCTCAGCCACAGCTCAGATAACAGATGCCCATGGGCTCACATCCCCCTCCCTCCCGCCAATCTCCTCACATGCACCAGGCTCCACAGCGCTGCCCCAGTACTCATGAGGACCCCTGGCTGGGGCACATGAGCACAACCCAGTGCTCACACAGCCTCCCTCCTTCCCTTGTCTACACGCTGCCCCCCGCAAGCAGCTGCAGGCCTGGCTGGGTTGGGGGCGGCCTCAGGATTTGGATGGGTGACTCAAGCTGAATCATGGCCCAGCTGCTCCTTGGCAGCCCCCTCCCCCATTCTGCCCAGAGAGCCTATTCTGAAGGCAAGAGCAGACCTTGGGCTGGGGGACAAGGAGCAGAGCAATAGGGTAGAGCACTTAAGATCCAGCTGCTGGAGAAGGAGGGAACTCTCCAAAGTTTCACAGGTACTCTCAGGCAGCCCTTCCCATGCCCTTCATTTTGCCAGGGAAAGAGATTTTCTGCCCTGATACAAGCCAGAGGCTCCCTCTCTAGAGCCCATTTTGGTTCCCCTGCCCTACCTCTTGGTCCCAATAGTAATGACAACCATAACGATATTACTGTAGCTGTTTTAATTGATCACTCACATTTACACAGCACTCTACACTTTAAAAAAGCACTTTCTCCTCAGCATTGAATTTTATTTTCCTACTAGTCGGGAGCTCTGGTAGCATAGTGGCTAAGACACTTGCCTGCTGACCAGACGGCTGGCGGTTCAAACCCACCAGCCACTCCTCGGAAGGAAGGTTGGGCAATCCTACTTCCGTAGTGATACTGCCTTGGAAACCCAAGGAGGGGTCGCTATGAGTTGGGGGTCGACTCGACGGCACATAACAACAACAACAACAGTCCTATGGAATGGAAATTAACACCTTCACTTTTGAGCTGAGGAAACTGAAGCTCAGTGGTTATGCAAAGTGTCCAAGGTTACACAGTTGGTAAAATGGCAGAGCTAGGAAGCAAGCTCAGGCCTCCTGGTCCATTCGCCAGGAAGGTCAGCATTTGGCTGCAGTTGAGCATCATGCCAGGGCATGGCAGAAGGCATAGTGGAGGGCATGGTGGGGCCATGGTGGGGGTATGGTATGGTGGCATAGTGGGGAGCATGGTGGCATGATATGACAGGCATGGTGATGGCAGGGTTCTGGCTAAAGTTTGCTTTCCTACTGATAGCCACTAATGGAATCATGAAATTATTTAAGCTTTTAAGTCTTCTTTCCAGTGTTTTAGGCCAATATCCCAAGGCTAACAAATCCAGTTCCAATGAGAAAGCTTCAGCTGTGCGACCTTTGCCTCCTGGACCTTCATTTTCTTATCTGGAAAAATGAGTCCAGACCTCCACAAAGGCAGGCTACTGAGAAGAGCAAGTAGAATCGTGGGCATTATGCCATTTAGAAGCCACGAAGGACTTCACAAGGCTGCTGTTTTTCACATTTTGTTTTATTTTTTAAAAGCCATCAGTGGGTGCTGTGCAGAAGGCGGGGTGGGCTTCTGGGAGCCTGGGGGTGGTTCTGGGAGGGGGTGTGGGTGACAGCTCTTCCTTTCCCCCTGCCTGGGCTCAGCCTGGCCTTCCCCCACCCTCAGCCCAGAGCCCGTTTCTAGGCAACGGGATGGATGCAGGGATGGTTTGGAGGGGAGAAATCTATAAATAGGGAAGGGAAAAACAAAAATAAAGTTCCAGAGAAAGCAGTAGAGCAAAGTCACTGGGGGTGGGGGTGGGCAGGCTGGGAGGAAAATGGGTAAATAGTTAGGACAGCCCCTAACCCCTCATCAGCAGGAGAGGGCAGCTGGCCAGTGAGGGTAGAGCTGACGCAGTTGAGGGTGTGTGTGTTTGGGGGGGGAGTGTCTCTGTGTGCACAAATGAGCAGCATGGAGATGACAAGGAGAAATTATTTCTGACAAGGGACCCAAGAAAGCTCAGAAGAGTGAAGGAGTTCAATAGGCAGAAGTTGAGGGCAGCTGTCTAGCTGGAGAGAAGAGAGCAGGCAACAAAGGGAAGGTGATGGGTCTGGAAAGGGGACCTGGGTCTGTGAATCCTGGTAGGCCTGGCCTCAGCCTTACCATGCACATACAGAACCCTGAGCACACACTCCCCATGCACATACAGACACACAAAGAGGTGGGCTCTTTCTCCACCTGCAACATTCCAGCCTCCTTTCATCCAGGTGTCAGTTCCAATCTCACCTCCTCAGAGATCTGACTTGATCAGCCTATTTTACTGTTGTCCACTGCCCCCCTCCGTGTTGTGTTCTATCTCATTACTCTGCTTTATGTTCTTGCAAGTGTTTGTTGCTGTGAAGCTGGAATATGAGCTCTGGCGGGGCTGTGCCTGTGGGTTAGCCCCACCACTTCTAAGGTCAGGGCAGGCGTACAACGCATACTTGTTGAATGGCTTCATGGATGCATACAACACATGTGGGCAACATCGTGTATGTGTAAGAACGCAGATACTAACAGCACACCGCATGCTCATCTCACGAACTCGTGGAGTATGCACATGAGCTCAAGCCCACAGTCTTGCTGGCCATCTCCATGCCACTGAACAAGGTCTGCAACCTCTGCCCTGCTGCCTCCACATTTCCTGTTGTTTGTTTGTGCCCCTCAAAGAGCAAGTCCCTCCTGCAACATGCCAAAAACTTCGGAGTCAGACCTAGGCGGGGTGTGGCCATTGCTACTTCCCAGCAATGTGACCTAGAGCAGGTAACTTTGTCTTTCTGCCTCCATTACCTATCTGTAAGAGGGGGCTAGTGGTAAGGCAGCCTTTGGGGCAGTTTTAAGTGAAATAAGCGGCAGTAATAGTGTGATGCCTCGGACATCCTGGATGTTCGGGAAATGGATCTGTCCCTGTCATGAGAGAGGAGCCCTGCACGGTGTGCTCTCATGCACTGCGCACAGTCAGGACAGCCCTCTTAACAGGCGCTGGCATCTTCTGCAGATGCTTTCCGGGCCTGTGCCTGGAATAGCGTTTAGTGACTATGGCAGATGAGAACATTGGCCACTGAGCAGAACCAGGCTCAGTGGGCCTGGGGGTGCAGGGTTCTAACCCTGGAAGGAAAAATAACCCCACAGGCCTGGTGTTGGCATCAAGAAATGGGGATCAGGTGCCAGTTGCTAGTGCAGCGGTCACAAACTCAAATCCTAAAGAGTTTAGGCAGTTCATGAAAATGAATGCAGTGGATGGGTGTAATCCAATATGGAGGGGAGGGGGCCGAGGCCAAGTGGTATAGGTATAATATCGTGCTAACTAATTTAACACATCCACAAGCCAATCTTAATTCAGCCAAAATGGCATCGGCACCTAAGTGAGTCAGAGAATCAAAGCCCACCCGTTTGTTCTCCCTCCACATTCGTCTGCCAACTGCATCCAGCTTCTGGAAATAATTTACACTGCAAGCCAAGGTGACCCGAGAGGGCCAGTCTCCTGCGTTCAAGGCCTTCCCTAGCCTTGCACCTCCTCCAGTCCCAGCAAATCAGGGAAAGAGGAGCGCAAACACGGGGATTGACTGAGTAGTGCAAGCTTCTCCAGCCGCAGGCTGGAAAGCGAGGCAGGACTTCGCGACGAATGGAGGTCCGACCGCTGCATAGAAAGGGGCGGGGCCTTAGGCTGACTAGCTTGGAGGCCTCTGCGGCGAAGAAAAGCAGGTTTTCTGCAGGGACGGGGGCGGGGCCTCTGCAGGGAAGGAGGCGGGGCCTTTGCGACAGGGCAGGAGCGCTGCACTTGCGGGGTTATGGGCTGTGCACAGATGAAAGCCGGGCCTCTGCGTGGGGTGGAAATATGCCATATCAGGGCACATTGAGGGGACAGGGCCTCTGCGCGGAACCCGCAGAATCTCCGCCCTCGTCTTCCCCACGCCAGACGGTGTCGGGGGCCCTCTAGTGCCGTCTTACTCCACCCGAGGCTCCTGGTGGCTTCCTAGATTTCTGTGGACCCTCTCCCGCCTCAACCAAATTTTAGGGAGCCTTTCAGAGTGGCGGGGCACCAGTTGCCGAAGCCCCGCACCCTTCTGGGTCACCTGCCCATTTCCCCTCAAGGTACACTGAGTTTTCTGCATTCGGTAGGTGTGCGCAGTGGTGCGTGCGGTGAGGACTGAGAGACGTCTGCGCGAAACAACGTCTTCCAGTGCCCACTTTGCTGATTTCAGAGGGTTTCTCCGCCGCGGGTGGGCAACTGTGAGTGCACGCGTGTGTGCACGTGAGCGTCCGAAAGGGTACGCAGAGTCGGGTTTGCGCGTATACACCAGTTTACGTGCACACAGGTCCGCGCGTGCGTGGGCACTGCGCGCCTGCGCTGAGTGTGCGCCGAGGTGTGAGCTCTCGGCCGCGCCACCCCAACGAGCACTTATGGCCCAGCAGGTGGCGCCCGAGGCTACCTCCAGGCTTGCGGCTACCTCCCAGTCAGCTTAGAGTTCCCGCCTTGGGGGACTCACTCCCCACCAGGCCATCTCAGTCGGAGGTGGAATAGCTGAAGTGGCCGATCTTGTACCTGAGCTGAATGTGACAGGCCTCAAAGACTGGAGTGGGGCAGGTCTGGGACCTGGACGCTGGTCAACCGCTCCCACCCGGCACCCAGCCCAGCTCTGCCGCGCCTGCTACAGACAGATTGGCTTTATTCATGGACACGCGGGGGACGGCCGGGCCCGCCCTCCCGGGACACGCTCACACTGGGGGATGGGAGGACTCTCCATGCCACAATCACAACACACGACGCCCGCGCTCAGACCGGGCCGGCTGGGGGGAGGGGACATGGCACAGCCTGGCTCCTGGTTTTGGTTAAAAAAAGGTACTTGGGGTCGATGTGGGAGTGGGCTGGGAGGCTCTGGGGCTGCCCGGGGGGCCCTCAGAGAGCCTCCGTCAGGGGCAGGGGAGCCGTTGCTTTCCGATCTTCTTTTAAAAACATAGAACATGCTACATCCGCGCAGACACTGGACCGGAGGGGGCAGGAAAGGACCAACACTGGTGGGGACGAGGCTCCCAGCCGCGGCCGCAGCTCGGCCTGTCCTCGCCCCAGGGGTGGACGCGGGCAGGTAGGGCAGACGGACAGACAGACACGAACACAGGCTCCGAGAGGGCGCCTCGGAGCGGAAGGAAGATCTCGTATTTTGGGAAAAGGGTTAGAAGGACAGCCCTGGCTCTGGGGGGCGGGGCAGGGGACCGGGTAGGGATTGTGCTGCTGGTGGAGGACCGTCCTGAGCCCTTACGCCTCTGGCTCATACTCCTGATAGTCCTCCTGCATCAGAGGGGTGGGGTGAAGTGAAGAAGAGCAAAAGGAGTGCTTGGAGACCAAGTAGCCACGCCCTGGCCCCAAGCCCCTCCCTCTCAAGGAAGAACAGGGCACGCCCCTCCCTCTGGGCAGAAACCAACTTAGAGCTTGGTAAGTGCTAACCTTTTCCTAGGCAGGGGTGCCTGGGTCCGGACCTAGCGCTAGGCCCCAGCTTCCTCCCCTTTCTGCTCCCCTCCATACCTGGGTTCTAGAAAAGGGAGGCCTGAAGCCCCCAGGCCCAGTCGGATCCTGCCAGGTGACCCTTCCCTAGCTGGGGATGGCAGCAGTCTCCCAGCCCTGCTGCCCCCTCACCTGTGGTGGTTCCTCGTAACTTTCCCCTTCTGGCTCTATCAGGGGCTCAATCAGCGGCTCCTCAGCAGCTTCCTGGGCCACCTCCTCAGGCTGCAAGCAAAGAATAGACAAAGCCGGTGAGGGCAGCCAAGGATGGCCCCCAAATTTCTCCTAGGGAAGCTTTTGGCTGATTAGGAGAGTGTGGAGGGAGGGCTAAGCTGTGTTGGCAGTGCAAGCAGAATTTCTAATTAAATTGTTTATTTGGAGTACCTTGAAGCGGGATGGAGGAGATGTGAAGAGTTAAATCCCCCCTAATCACGACTTGAAGCTGGTGGTGGGATGGGGGAACTGGGCTCTCCTTACCCCTCCCCAGCACCAAGCAGCCTCCTGCATCCATCATTTGGACTGAATGGGATGAGAGGACAGACACCATACTCAGTCACTAATTTACCCCTACCCTCATTTTTTCAGGCTCTGCCTGGGCATCCAGATAACCCTGGAGGTTCCCCTGGGCTAGGGGTAGATGGGGGCTCAGGAATGGGGCTGGGCAGGGGCTCTGAGCCATTCCTCTGCCACCTTCCACTCATCCCTCCCCCAGGGCCCTGCATGGCCTGATTTCTTCAGCTGTTGCTATTTTAAGATAAGCTGGAAGCAACAGCTCATGGTGTTGCTTGGATGTGTGAGCTAAGACTCTCCCTTCCCCCCTGCATCTGCTGTCCAGATAGGCACAGACCAGCAGGCCTGTGGGGGGGCTGCCAGACACATGGCCAGCCACCTGCAGGTGAGCACATGATTGAGCTGGCTGCACGCACAATAACCTAGGTTACATGCAAATGTACCTGGGTAGCGCAAATGGTTAATGCACTTGGTTGCTAACCAAAAGGTAGGCAGTTCAAGTCCACTAGAGGTGCCTTAGAAGAAAGGCCTGGTGATCAACTACTGAAAACTCAGGAACTAAAAACCGTATGGATGTACTCTGACACACATGGGGTCACCATGAGTTAAACTGACTCAGTGGCAACTGGTTTGGTATAGTATATGTGTAAGCTGTATAGCTCCCAAGGCCACATGTGACTTAGCAGATGCCTGGACCCCTTCCACATGTGGCCACTATCCCTCATAAATGGGTGGAAGTGAGAATGTTGGGACCCTGGAGAGTTACACTGAGAAGGCCCACCCTCACCACACCTGTGCTCTCCTTGCCCCAGCCCTATCCAGACAACTTCAGCTCCTGTACGTGACCTGTCGGGGTGGGCCCTGTGGGCTTATGAGTTTACAACTCCTGACCTGGCTTACTTCCCTCATTTTACAGATGGGAATATCAAGGCTCACCAAACCAAAAACCAAACTCACTGCCGTTGAGTCGATCCTGACTCATAGTGACCCTTCCTTGGGTTTCCCCATCTTCCTTCTGAGGAGTGGCTAGCGGGTTTGAACCACCTGCCTTCTGGTTAGCAGTCAAATGCCTTAGGCACTACAGCACCAGAATTCCCATCAAGGCTCATCAAGGCTCAGGAGGTAGGCAAATATTTATTTGCCCAAAGTCATCCAGCAACTTAGTACCAGAGCCATGATGAGAAACCAGGGAGGAAGCATGGTGTTAAATCCCCAGCTTGAGCACATCGTTTGGAAAGAGCCCAAATGTCAACGACAGTAGAATGGTTTGTCACACAGTGGAATCTGATACAAGCACAAAGAACAACAATTGCACACAAAAGCATGGTTGCAGCTCATAGGTTTACAGCTCATAGGCTTAATGTTGAGTGAAAGAAGCCAGATGCAGAAGGGTATGTATTTCATGATAACATTTATAAGTTATTTTTTTAAATGCTAACATTTAGCTAATTTGTGGCAATAGTAGTCAAGACAGCAATCACCCTGGGGGTGGTGAGCATAGTACCTAGGGGCAAATTTTCAGAAGGCACTCAGTCTCAGGGGACATGCAAATGAGACTCCTGGAATGAGTGCCCCTTTAAACTTTGCACGCTACTTGCCAGCCAGAGTTGCCTAACCCTAATCTTGGCCCTGAGGGTAGGGGCTGGAAGAGGGGTACCAGGGGACTTCTGAGGTGCTGACATTCTGTTTCTTGATCTGGGTATGATCTGGGTACTTGTTACCCAGGAGTGTTCCCTTTATGAAAATTTCATGGAGCTGCATGTTTTCTGCATGCATGCTATCTTCAATAAAAAGTTCATTTACAAAATTCCCAGCTTGGTGATGAAGAACTTTTGGAAACAGATAGTGGTGATGGTTGCACAATATTGTGTATAATTAATGCCATTGAATTGTATGTACAGTTAAGAATAATTAAAATGGGAATTTTTATGTTATATATACTTTATCACAAAAGGAAAAAAAAAAATCTCAGCTTGGCCATCTGTTTATCAGGCAAGTTACTTCACTTCAAACCTCAGCTGCTTCCCATGGAAAATGGGGTATGGGATAACTCTTGCTTTGGGAGAGTGTGGTGAGGGTTCGGTGATAATGTCTGTAACCAGGGCAGCAGGAAGGGATGCTCAGAAGTGCTGAGCCTGGGCTGAATGGCTCCCCCTTGCTGGGTGGCCCCAAAAGACTATTGTTTGGATGTAACTATATATCTTCCTCTCCCTTGAGAGAGGAGCCTTGAGGTGTCAACAGGTATTGGTAGGAGGAAAACGGCAACAGAGAAATTTTCCACACAAAGGCCCACAGCCTAGCAGCAATACTTCAGGACATGGGCCTGGTTTCTCTCTGCACCCCAGCCTTTAGCAAGGCCCACTGGCTTCTCGTTGTATCCCACGTCCTAGCAGGGTTTGGCCTCGTGTCAGCACCAAGCAATTCCAATTAAACGGACCTCAGCTTATTCTCTCAGCTGCCTTATAAGGGAGACAGGCAGCAGTTGGCATCTCTGAGCCTCATTTCCTTCATCCATAAAATGGGAGTGTGGTAGTACCTTCCTTAAAGGAACTTGGTAAAGACTCAGTGAATGTAAAATGTCTACACCTGTGCCTGCCCATGCAAGAGCTCAGTGGATAGTAGTGATTACTGGTAACATCAAACTCACTGCCATTGAGTCGGATCTGACTCACAGCAACACCTCCTTGGGTTTCTGAGATGGTATCACTACAGATGTAGATTGCCCAATCTTCCTTCCGAGGAGTAGCTGGTGGGTTTGAACCGCCAGCCTTCTGGTTAGCAGTCTAATGCCTTAGGCACTACGCCACCAGAGCTCCCATAGCATAATGATGACAAGAAATAGAAAGTCACACAGCTAGTAAAATGCAGAGGCAGAACTTGAACCAGAACTTCTGAACCATGTTCCAGACTCTTCCAACAATAGAAGGAACCAATTGTGCAAAAGGTCTGGAGTGGAGGGCTGGGGTGGGGTCTCTACCACCCAAAGGGTATGCTCATGCCAAATGCACACTTGTCACCCAGCAGAAGTACAGAGCAAGGAGCCCCACCCCCTGAGGCAGAGGTCTGTACATGTGGATGGAGAGACATGGAGTATCCCCTGGGAATGTTGGCACTCACACGTGTGGGCCCCCAGTGCACACTATAGGGTAGTACACGTCCATGAACACCTGGGGTCACATGATCACCTGGGGGCAGACATGGACCATTCACATGATTGTGTGGCCACCATCTCTTACTGAGCACCCACTGTCCACAGGCCAGGCTCTTTACATTAGTGGTTCTCAGTGTGTGGTCCACAGATCAGTAGTGTCAGCATTACCTGGGTACTTGTTAGAAATGCAAATTCTGAGGCCCAACCCCAGACCTGCTGAGTCAGACATTCTGAGGATGGGGCCTAACCATCTATATTTTAACCTGCCCTCTGGAGGGTTCTGGTACACATCCAAATTTTAGCACCTCAGAGCTATATTACCACCAATCTGCATAAGAACTCTATTGTGTTCTTAGTCAAAGAATCAGGCTCAGGAACATGGTAGGACTTGCCCTAGGATCATACAGCCAGGAAGTAGTGTGGGCTGAGATTCCAGCCCAGCTCTGTGGGGCTCTAGAGCCCACTATTCTTAACTCTTCTTCTCCAGGGTGTGCTAACACACCTGTGTCTCTACCTACACATATGCAGCCACTGATACTTCATGGCGAACCATGTCTATACAAAGCTGTGACAGCCTTCCGCCCCTTTTCATGGTTCTCATGATAAATTCATGCCTGCCTCAGGGCCTTTGCACTTGCTGTTCCCATGGCCTGAGGTACTTTTTCTGCACCTCTTCTCATGACTGCCTTTCTTTCATCTCTTATGTTATCAGCTCACATGCCCATCCCTCAGAGAAGCCCTCCCAGCTGAAGCAGCTCCCTCACCCCTTGACTCTATTCCATCTCCATATTGTCTGTTCATTGCATTTATCCCTGTCTGAAATGATCTTGCTTATTTATTAGTTGGCTTCTAACTGCAAAGTATCCCCTACTATAATACATGAATGCAGGAAACTTACTCCCTGTGGTAACCTCCAGAACAATTCCTGCCTGGCATGAATATTTGTTGAATGAAAAGAAGTTAATGAACAACGAGTGGCACATGCGGATGTAGCTGGAAGTGATCCAGATACACTCCCAAGCAGGACACTCCTATACAACCATATCTGGGTTACTGTCACAGGGAGAGCCATACCATACACATCTTCACTCAGACACATGCTGAGTGGAGTCTAGCAGGGCCCTACATAATATGGGGCAAGATGTTGTGAGCCCCCAGCTGGCTGGGGGAAAGGACAGAATGGTGGCAGATGTATTTGGGTGTCTGGTGTGTGTGGTGAGTGGGTTTACTTACCTTCAGATCGGTGGGGAATTCCTCCTTCTTCACCAGGCCTGTGGCTGCTGCAATGTTCCCAGCCCCAGAGAACACAGCTCCTCCCAGATGTGATGCCTGCTCCTTCGTTTTCTCAGCCACTGGATCAGGGATGGGGTGAGGGGAGGGGGTTGGGGCCCAGGGTGAAGGGCAGGCACAGGTGCCCTCCTACCATAGTGCCCCAGGTCTGCCCTCCCCAGGGAGCACCCCCCACCGAGGCCTTGGAGGGTACAGATCTCAGGCCCCAGGTGAGGGAAGGGGGCTGAGCCAGATGGGATTGGTACCTGAGGCAACACCTTGTACCACCCCCTCTCGGGTCTTGCTTCCTGCAGGGAGGAAAGAGAACACATTTAAAGGCTCTGAGCCAGGAAACAGAAATTCCAGGCCTGAAAAATGGTTACAGGGTAGTCAGAGGGACCCAGTCAGCAGCAGGTGTACAGGTCTGCAGCCTTCCCAGGCATCCTCAAATCTCCACATCCCACAGGCCCTTCCCTATACTAGTCCTGCCCTCATTTCTCATCACTGCACTAGACTTCCTGGGGACTTCTACTCCTCTCCACTGTCTGTCCCCTCATCCTCACCCATCACAATATCCACACCCTGTAGTGGGTGGCGGCTGAGTGAGCACTTCTCTGGCACCCTGTGGTAGTTGAGGTTATGTGTCAACTTGGCTGAGCCTGGTTTTGAGTGGCGGGCAGCTGGATGTAGTATTCCCCATAAAGAAACTGGTAATCAGTTCCATGGTGGAATCTACTGGAGCAGCTGAGTAGCTGCCTTAGGGATGTGGTCTGCTTCCAGTATACAAGAAGAAGCATAGAGAAAGGTTTCTGCAGCTTTTTTGGCATGCTTGGACTGAGCATGTTGCCAAGTCTTCATTCAGCAGCCTGCTTGTTTCCTGCCGATGCTGGAACTGTCTCTGGACTTGAAGTAGTGGCCTGCCATGTTGTTTGGTAATCTTGAGACTGTGTCATTTTATTTATCAACCTTGGGTTTGTCAGCCTCAGCAGCCAGCAGCTGCCTGAGTGAAAAGATGCCTCCAGTTCCAGTGGGCTGGGAACAAGAGGCAGAACTGAAGCCCAAGATCGAGGGGGCCTTCACCCAACCTCTAGAGCTTGGCACTTTGAACTCTGACTTCTAGCCTCCTAAACTGTAAAAGAATAAATCCCCCGTTTGTTAAAGCCATCCACTTGTGGTATCTTCTGTTAGAACAGCACTAGAGGACCAAAATTACACCCTTTCATGTAGCCTTCTCCCAGCCCCACAAGGAAAATGCTCAGTGAAGGAAAGAGCTGGTGCCCTGCTAAATGGCTGAGCTGGAATTCAAGGTCAGGTCTTTAGACTCTAAAACTCTGCGAATATGAAGGCTAAGTTGGGGTGGAGTGGGGCCAGAGGACACCAAAGCTGTATATTTTGGAAAGTTTATCTGGTACCCTGGTGCATGGCTCAGCTCCCCACATCCTACTCATGGTCACCCTCATGCCCTGTACCCCACCACCACCATTTTCTCTTAACAAGGTACAAACCCTTCCTTCTGGGCAAAGTGGTGAGTATCTCAGTGCAGGCTGGGCCTAAGGGGGATGTGCAGATTGTGAGTGGCATCTACATATCAGCTGGGCCTTCTGGGAGGGTATGACTATCACATGCAAAATATGAGGCTACCGGGAAGGGCTAGGAGGCTGACCTGCGGGAAGGTGAGGGGCCTCTACAAATCAGGAAGTCTCCCACCCTGAAAGTGTGGCAACCCAGATAGTAGCTGACAGACCCAGAAACGGGTGTCTGGGAAGGCTGTGTCCAGTGGGAGGAGGAGAGGCCAGGAGTATGGGAAGACAAGGCTAAAGCCAGCCAAAACTGGGAGCCTGGAGGGGGCGGGCTATTATCCTCCCTGTCCTGCCTCCTACAAGCATTTGTTTGCACCTGCTCTGTGCCAGACCCTGGGCCAACTGCTCCCTGCCTGAATGGGGTAAAGAGGAGAGCCGATTCCAGGCCCCGGATCTCAAGTAGTGGGGAGATGACTTCCGCTGTCAGGAAGCTGGGACCTGGGGGTGCATGATAGGGAGGATACACTGCTGGGCCTTCAAAGGAGGAGCAGTGGAGATACGGAAAGGAGACTGGGGAGATTATCACACAGAGGGAAGGACAGAGCATGAACGGAGTGACGTGATCAGGTCCCTCAGTAAGTGCATCCAGGTGGGGCTGTGCACCAAACACAGTGCAGTGAGAAACAAAGTTGGACAAGTTGCCTGAGACAGGACCCTGAAGAGCATTGGATACCAGGTTATTAGAGGTTAAGCCTTTAATGTGTAGGGACTGGAGGACCACCATGGGTTTCTAGACAAGGGGAGAAGGGGGAAGGGTAGCATGGCTTGGAGTGGTGAAGCCTACTGGCAGTGAAACAATGTCAGTGGAGCCAGGACTCAACAGGAAGGAAGGAGCTGAGAGAGGCAGGAGGGAGACCAGTGCTAGAAGCTGGCAGACATGAGCTCAAGCCTTTTCCCCAGCTCCAACAGTAGTACTACCCGTACTCAGCCACCCCTCTTCTGGTGGCTGTACTACTTCCCAGAGGGCCTTGCTGCAATTTGTTCTGTACCCAACAGCCTGAGGGACCTTTTAAAACTGAAATCAGACCATGTCAGTCCCCTGCTTACAACCTCTTGTGGCAATTATAACACTTTGCCTTGATCTAAGATGATGTCGTGGTTAAGATGTTTGGCTGCTAACCAAAAGGTCGATGGTGCGAACCCACCAGCTGCTCCACAGAAGATAAAGAGGGCTATCTGCTTTCATAAAGACTTACAGCCTTGAAAACCCAATGGGGGTCACTATGAGTCGGAATTGACTCAATGGCAGTGAACTTGGTTTGGTTTCGCTTGGTTTTGCCTTGATCTAAAGGACCTCCTTATGAACTGGTCCTATCTTGCCTCTCTGATTTCATCTCCTACCACTGCTTGTTTCCTGCCCTCTGCAGAACCTGGTCTCCTCTAACCCACTCTACCTCAGGGTCTTTGCACCTGCCATTCCCACCCCAAGTTCCCTGCCTGGCACCTTCTCATTATCCAGGACTCAGCTCAAATGTTTCTTTCTCAGGTAGCTCCTCTTCAACTCTCTCACCCAAAGCAGTCCCCATCCCAGCCCCCTGGTATCGAATCCCACTGCTGAAATGCTATCACCCTCTGATATTTTCTAGTTCAGCTCCAGGAAAGTAGGCAACTTTGTCTCTCCTATTCACTTTACATCCCCAGCATCCATAAAATGCCCTGCACACAGTAGGTGTTCAGTGAATATTTGTAAAGCAACCATAATCCCAAGTCTGCTGCTGCTTGTTGTTGTTGTTATGTGCCGTCAAGTCGGACTGACATAGCGACCCCTCCTTGGGTTTTTGAGGCAGTATCACTATGGAAGTAGATTGCCCCATCTTCCTTCCGAGGAGTGGCTGGTGGGTTTGAACCACCAGCCTTCTGGTTAGCAGTCAAGTGCCTTAGGCACTATATGCTACCAGAGCTCCAGCCCTGTGCAAATTACTCAGCCCTTCAGAGCCTATATAATTAACATGCTCCACATCAGTAAGTCCTGAGCATGGACTCAGTCAATGTCAATTTCTGGCCCCTCCTTTCCTTATGCAAATGACCCTGCAGGCTCAGTCTCCTCACATTTAGGGTGAGAGATTTTAACCAATTGGCCTTTGCCTTGACACCAGCTGGCAGCTGCAGGGAGGGTGGTTGGGGAGAAGAGAGAGCAATGATGGAACCATAAGCACTGGGAGGCAGGGAGACCCAGAAAGCAGCTCAGCCAAGTAGCTTTAGAAGAAGAATGGGAGAGAGAACACATGGGGGTGGGGCAGGGAGAGGGACCTTTGGGGGGGGGGGCTTTTGAAGTCCCTTCAGACCCCAGCCTTAGGCATTAGCAGCTGTGTGGCCTTGGGCAAGACAGATAAACCTGTGGGAATCCCAGTTTTCCTAATCTGTAGAATGGGCTGGGAGCATTAAATGAGGTTAATGGATGCTATGGCATTTCATACAGTACTTGGTATACAGTGAGGGCACACCACCAGGTAACTATTAATAATAAGATTTGAAAAAGAAGGCTATCTTCTTTTATCACTGCACCTGTCCTCTGGCCTTTCAGCAGCACCCCATTCTCATCACCCACCCACCCCCCTTCAATGACCCAGGCTTCCATCTGCTGGCTTTGTCCCCACTGACTCCTGCTGACCTCACCCTATCTGCTGACTCATATCCTCCTTCCCAGACCCCTCACCCCCTTTAAGGACCCCTGCCCCCCTTCTTCCGAGGATACCCCAACCCTGAAGCCCCGGAAACACTGCCCCTCGCCCACCGACGTAGAGGACGCCTTCTTTGGTCTTCTCCGCGGCCTCAGTGACCCCCTGCTTGGTTTTCTCCGCGGCGGCCACGACACCCTCCTTGGCCATGGACAGGCCCTTCATGAACATGTCCATCCTGGCGGCCTGGGGAGGGCGAACACATGGGCACTGGTGCGCTATCTCCTCACCCTCACCCAGCCATCCCCTAGGGGCCTGAGTGACCCCTCCCCTGTCCCCTGAGACCGCAGTGCCCTTCCGGGCCTGAAGCCCCATCTCCCCTTTTACCTCTCACTCCCATCCCGAGCAGCCTCTGGGCCGCGGTGAGTCCTAGCGTCCTTGAAACCCGGGGACGCGGGAGGGGCAGCCGCCTCGGTTATCCTGGGCCCTGCAACCTGCGGCCCCACTGAATCCGAGTGCCGGGCTCGGCGCGAAGACCCGGGGCCTTCCTGTCACACATCACAGAATCACACAGCCATGTACACAGAGACATACACCCACGGACACTCTCACGTGCACACAGAGGACACACTCATGTTCAAACATACACGGACACACGGGCACGGACGCACGTCCACACAGCCACCCAGACAGCAACGGACACAGGGGAGCAGACACACAGCCCTGGGCGCACATTGATGTGCACCCACTGGCGCCTCCAAGCCATCCCTTCTCTCATCTCTATGCCTAGGCCCTTTTCCCACCCCTTCCCATTCTTCACCTTGGCCCCCCTACACCCTCATCCCCATCCACATCCCAGGCACCTCACCTGGATACGGGGCCCGGGCTGGGGTTGGAGCGGCGGCTGCGGGCGGACGCCGGGGCTCAGCTAGGCCGGGCTGGGTAGACTCGGGGCGGAGTGGAGATCCGGCCGTGGCCGGGCGCTCGTGTCTGTGGGCAGCAGGCGGGCCGCGTACCCTGAGCCGCGGCGCAGCAGTGCCCCGGCCTTTGGGTGCCTCGCCAGTCACCGCTCACTCCTAGAGCCCAGCTAGCTCGCTCGCTCACTCCGGCTCCGGCTCGGGCTCCGGCGCTGCGGCAGCTCTGAGCTCAGCATCCCCCCTGGCGGCCGCACCGCCCCCTCGGCCTGACTGACAGGGGGCGGGGAGGGCTACATCTCCCCGGAACTTGCCAGCCTCCTGGGACCAGTCTGGGACAAGACGCTGGGGACCCCGGGTTAGGCTTGCGCCCTGCCCCCAAGAGCCTAGTTTTGTGGGAGAGACGTAGGTGGTAGAGTTGTAGAGAAGAAATAATGCAGTTGGCTTTGAAGTTTGGAGTTCGAATCAGGACCGTGCCTTTTTACTAACGGTGGGACCTCATGCCTGTTTCCTCTTGTTCAATATGAACGATTCATTTCACAAATGTTTATTGAGTGCCTACACAGGTACCAGGCAAGTTCAAGACTGGAGACAGTGGAAAAGAAAAACAAGGCCTCTGACCTCAAGGGGCTGGCAGAAAAATTAACGCGCCAACACTCCTATCAAACAAGGTTATTCCAGCGGTGAAAAGTGTTATGAAGAAAGAAGGGTGTTGTAACAGGAGAGAGGAGGGGCACTGAGATAGAGGGATGAGGGGAGGCCTCTTTGAGGAGGTGAATTTGAGCAAAGACCCAGGAGAGAGGCCAGGAAGCCAAGGCAGATGAGGGCAAGATCCATAGAGAGGGAACTGCAAGAGCAAAGGCCCTGATGCAGCTCTGTGCTTGTTGTTGTTGTTGTTATGTGCCATCGAGTCAGCCCGACTCATAGCGACCCCTCCTTGGGTTTCCGAGGCAGTATCACTACGGAAGTAGGATTGCCCAACCTTCCTTCCGAGGAGTGGCTGGTGGGTTTGAACTGCCAGCCGTCTGGTTAGCAGGCAAGTATCTTAGCCATTAGCAGACAAAAGGCCTATGCAGTCCGACAGACAGAAGGGAGGGACAAAGAGGAGAACAGGGCCCCTTTTTTGTGTGTGGTTATTGTGGGGATTGTCAAAATGACATAGAATGCACAGTAGCCCATAGTCAGTGCTATGACAGAATTAGGCTGAAGGTGCTGTGGGATCCCAGAGGAAGGAGACTCTGCTTAGGGTAGTCAGGGAAGGCTGTATGGAGGAGGTGACATTTAGGCTGGGTCTTGCAGTACTGGTAAGATTTCATCTGGCAAACAAGGGAAGAAGGAATTTCAGGGTCTGAGTATAACATGGGCAAAGGCCCTGTGGCCAGAAGTGCAGGGTGTGAGAGTGACTACAGGTAATGAGGTGAGGAGCCAGCCAGTGACCAGACTATGCCAGTCCTGGAAAAAAATGTTTGCAGGCTGTTGATAGGACTGCAAATTGGTACAAGCTTTTTGAAAGGCAATTTGGCAATGTTTATCAAAAATATAAATGTATGCTCCTTTTGAGCCAGCAATTTCCCTTTCCAGCAATTTATTCCATGGCTCTCTACTTGCACAAACACACAAAGACATTTGCACAAGTGTGGGTGCTTACCTCAGTGTGGTTTATTGTAGCAAAAGCTGAAAATGATCTAAATGTCCATCCTTAGAGGACTGACTTGTTAATTGTGGTAGACTAGGATCTATCTACTGAAATGGTATGCTGCAGTTAGAAAGGATGAGCTAGACTTGTGTACTGACATGGGAGTATATCAAGATACATTGCTAAGTGAGAGAAGTAAGGTGCTAAACTGTATGTGTGGAACAGAGCCTATGTTGATACATGGAAAATGATACTCACATAGTATATAATTTATATACATAATACCTATGTATAAATATATTGTTTATATACAAATACTTTTATTTATATACAAATATTTATATCCAGATACAAAAAAAAAAAAAAAAAGCCACCACCTGTTTATCAGTTTGTTATACTGTGCTAGCTTGCGTGTTATTGTGATGCTGGAGGCTATGCCACCAGTATTTCAAATACCAGCAGAGTCACTCATGGAGGACAGGTTTCAGTGGAACTTCCGCACCAAGGCAGACTAGGAAGAAAGGCTTGGGGATCTACTTCTGAAAATTAGCCAATGTAAACAGCAACAGAACAGCAAATCTGCAGTGTAGTAAATTACTTTGTATGGCTTTTCTACCCATAAGTCATTGTAAACTCAGTGGTGGAATGAGCAACCAACTGAGGAGCTCCTGATTGTAAATGTTATCCACGTGGAGTATTTGTTGGGTGTGGCACAATACAATGTTCTGGGAGGTTCCCACTCTCTCTCAGGTGCTTAGAGTTCTGATGCTATGATTGGCTAGTTTGACCACCCTTCCAGGCTCAAAAGGAGGCCTCCTAGAGGCAGAACTCTCTCTGACTGCTGGTTGAAGAAGACGTGCTGCCGAAAGAGGCACGCACCCCTGAAAGAGACACGTGCTGTTAGGAAAGAGACGCAAGAGACAAGCATTGCTGAGTGAGACACTGAGGGACCAGCACTGTTGGGAAACCGACTGTGAGAGACTGTTGGCTGAGGGAAGGTGGGCTGGGAGAGAGACTGAGCGTTTTTCCTGAACTTGAGTTGTAGCCTGGTGCTTCCCCAATAAATCCTATAAACTGTGAGTTCTGTGTGGCCACTGCAGCGAATTATCAAACCGAGGAGAGAGGTGGTGGGTGCTTTGGGAGGAATGGTTGGTGAAAAGGGCTGGAGGGAGGCAGTATGTCTGGCCTTGCAGTAATAGGCCTTGGGTTACTGCTGGTAATCCTGTCTTCCTCTTGTGGGATTAGAGGAGGTCAGAACATGTGGCCTCCTTGCCGTTTTTGCAAAATCTGACTCACTTGCTTTAGACACATCATCAGGAGGGATCAAGTGGTGTAGGAGGACCTGGTATTTGGTGAAACAGAGGTCCAGCAAAGCTGAAGGAGACTCCCAGTGAGATGGATTGGCACAACAGCCTCAACAATGGACTCAAACATGGTGACAATCTTGAGGATTATGCAGCATGGGGCAAAGTTTTGTTCTGTTGTACATAAGGTCACCACGAGTCAGAATTGACTCAATGCCATCCTTCCATCCATCCATCCATCCTTCCTTCCATCCATCTGTCCATCCATCCATCCTTCCTTCCATCCATCCATCCATCCTTCCATCCATCTAGCCAAAGAACAAATCTTCCAGGATTTCTTAAAATCTGTTAATTAACTAGTTGCCTCTGGACAATGGGACTGAGCAGCTCAGAGAGGAAGGCTTTTACATTTCATCTTCCTTCTTGTGCTGTTTGATTACTTTGTCTTGAGTAGTATTTTACTTATACAATTTTTAAAGCTAGCATGACATCTGTGATTATTTTTGGTCCCACAACATTGGAGTTGCCCCCTTCCTACATTTGGAGATCATCCACCTTATGAGAGGACCCACTTCCCCCTACACCAAGAGTAGACAATGCCAAGACTTGCTTTTCCAGCCTGCCCTGCAGCCAGAGCTTGGATGTGTGACTAGAGTCCTCCACATAGATACACCACCCCCAAACCTGAAGCTGGTGTCAGAAAGAAGCAGGGAAGAAGGGCAGTCTATTCTTGGGATGAAGGAGGTTGTAGTGGCACATGCCTCCAAGGGACCATGGGCAGCACTGATTCTGGTTCTGGGAGTGTCCAGCATCACTGGTCAGAGGTCAGGGAACTCTTCATGGGCCTGTTTGGCTATGTGATTTTGAGCATCATTTGGGCCTTGTGGTCTCCAAGGTGGCTTCTCTGGCCCTTCTGGAGAGCCTTTGAGCTTAATAACCTCCTTATCTGCTTAAATTAGCCAGAAGTGAGTTCTGTGATGTGTAACAAAGAACCCCTGAAAGTCAGAGCGGATAGTGAAGATGGATCAGGAGCAAGGTCAGTCCTTGGATTGGCAGCAAGTTGGCTGCTGCAGAGTTTAAAAGCAGCACAGAGGGCTATGGGAGCCCGAAGAGGGAAGGAGCATCTAGAGAAAGCCTCCAGGAGAAAGTGACATTTGAGTTGAGTTTTGAAAGATGAGTAAGATCTTATAAGTGGTGGTGAGCATTCTTAATAGAGGATGCAGCAAAAAGTCCAGAGTTTTGAAGGGACAGAAAATAGTTTAAATTCTGAATCAGGCAAGAATTTGGGCACGGTATTAGACTGGGTTCTCTAGAGAAGCAAAACCAATAAAGTTCATGGAGAGAGAGAGAGAAAGAGAAATGTATCTTAGGAAAATGGCTCACACACTTGTAGAAACTGGCAAGTCCCAAGTTCTTGGATCAAACATCAAGATGGAGGCTTTTCCTGACTCACACAGCTGCAGGGGCAGATGAGCTCAAGGTTGGCAGGGAGTATACTGGCTATTGACTTCAGCGAATGATGAATCCAAGATCTCCAGGCCGAATGGTGGATTGTTCATGGACTCATGGACTGTTGTAGGCAGCACAACAGAATCCTGATCCACAGAAGAATGTCTCTTTTCCCAGGATGTCCATAAATATATTGCAAGAAGGCCACAACCCTAGGGAAACTCCCTTTCAATGGATTGGCTGCTCAAAACATATAGCTAATCCCATCATGGGAACAACCCACATCACAATTGCTTAAACCACACAGAATTGTGGTCCAGCCAAGTTGACACACAGCTCCAACTGTCACAGGCACTCATGTGGGCTAGTAGTTAAGTAACAGAATTCTCTCCATCCATGTGGGAGACCCAGTTTTGATTCTGTAAAAATGGTGTGGGGGTGGCTTCCAACCTCCTCTAACTTCACAAGAGGAGGAAGAACAACATGAACATCAACAGCCCAAGGCCAATTCCTGTGAGGCAGAGGTCAGACACAGCACTATCCTCCAAATTTTTTTATTTTATTTTTTTACCAATTTGACACCAACTATCTCTCCCACGACACTCTCTATTTCTCTGCTGGGTTCAATAATTCAT